TTATAAAAAATTTAATTTTCAAAAAAATTTTGATAATAACAATTATTTATATCAAACTTACTTTTTATAGGATAATTTATGAATCACAATGTATTTTTTTAATAATAATTTATAATTAATATTTAAAAAATGTATAATATATTATTATATTTTATTCTCTGGTGACTACATTTACAATTGTTTGAATAATTTTTTTTCCATTTTGATGATTCAAAAGATTTAAAAGAGGCTCCTTCATTTTTTGTTCCAATAATTCGATTAATTCTATTCTCATTCTTTGTAAAAGTTGTGCCACCTAAGTAAAATCAATATTTATAATTATTTCGTGTCTAAATTTTATAAAGCTAATAATAGAATTTAATTTAATTTTTAAAAAAATTATTAATTTTATAAATAATATTTTTACCCTATGAGATTCAACACTAAATAAAATCCAATCATCTTCTAATGATACAATAAATATTCCATTATGTAATTCTATTTTTAATTCATAATCAGAAAATAAAATTAATGGTAAAATTGGTACCATTGATACTTCTTTAATAAATATTTTACTTGTTTTAACTTTTTCCTGAAATACTAAATATGGACTAGGAAAATAACCAACATGAAAGTTGACAGAGGATGGATGAATACTGACAAAACCATCATTTTTAGTTTGGAATCTTAATTCCTCAGGTTTTGGTTGTATTGGAACTGCTCCAGCAGATTGAATTTGAAAAGATTTTTCTGGTGTAAAAACTTTTACCACATTAGGATATAGAGCTGCACAGAGTAAACCTTGAAGAAGTTTATAATTATCATTATTGATATTAAGTTCAAATCCAGTAATTTCCACAATCTTATCAACATTTGGCTGTCGTTTGGGCAAATTAATAGGAACAAATCCAATTGAAACCAATAATTCTAATAATTGATATTTTATATCTGCCAAAGTACATAGTGTACGCATAGATAGATAGTTTTCATTTGCGAAAGCTTGACCTGCATTACTGTTGCGTGTATATGCTTCTAACCATTTCTGTCAAGAGAAATATATAAATTATAATAATAATTATAAAATTATATATTATATATTATATTATATTATAATATTTATGTTTACATGTTTACCTTATATGCTTTAAGAATAGTTAATTGATCAGAATTAGCCGTAAAAAATTCTTTTTTTGCATCAATTTCATGTCTTTTTTCAAAAGGAATAGTAAACGGATTTTTATGAGATAAACAAGCTGCAATGGTGAGTGCAGAATCAAGACAACAAAAGATTGCTCCAAACAATATTAATTTTCCAATTCGTACATTTACAGGCAGTGTAGCAAGATGATGGCCTAATGGTGTTAATGTACATTCAGAATTAAATGCTCCAACATCTTGTAAACGTTTAATTGCACTATTAATATTTTCTTCTGTTGGTGCTTCTAACATTTTACCTAAATAAGCATTATAATATAAATGCTACAAAATTAATTAAAAATATTAAAAATATTAATTAAAAATTAAATAAATTATTATTACTCAAAATTTTATGTAAATCAATCTTTTTTCCTATATGTAAAAGTTGTATACGTAGTAACAATGGTTCTAAAGAAATTCGTAATATTTCAGGTACTGGTTGTGCTGTGAAATGATATTTAAATCTGAAAAATATAAAAAATAAATATTAATAAATATTTTATTAATATAAAAATGATTTATTAATTAAATAATTATAAAAATAATATTTTTTTAATATAAATAATTAAAAAAATAATTATATATACTTGTATGAAGTATATAAATGAATACATATTCCAGACATTACACGTCCAGCACGACCTTTTCTTTGTAATGCATTTGCACGTGATACCCAACATGTTTCTAAACTTTCCATGTTTTGATTTGAATTAAATCTAGTTTCTTTCATTTTGCCACTATCAATTACAAAAACACAATCATCAATAGTGATGGAAGTTTCAGCTAAATTTGTGCTTAATACAATTTTTCTGACGTTTTTACTTTTCTTAAAAACTAAGTTTTGTTCTTCATTTGATAAAGATGAATGTAATGGTATAATGATAAATTTTCCAGTCTTTGGTGAGAGAAATTTATTGTCATTTAATCGATCTTTTAATGCAATAATTTCAGCAAATCCAGGTAAAAATATCTATAAATGCAATATTTATTTTGAAAAAAAAACGATTATTATTATTTTACTAAATTTACTTACTAAAATGGAGCCTGTTTTAGGATAATTATGTTCACCAAAAGTAATCCATTCTAATATTGTCTCTATAAGTTCAAAATTAATTTTATCATAATCCATAACATATAAATTTTTATGTGTTTGCTTATTATAAGCCTGATATCTACTGACAAGTTGCGTTAGTGATAAATTTTCATCTTCAATAGATTCCTTAGGTATAGGAGCAGAAAGGCCTTCAATCTCTGCAGTTTCTAAATCAATTTGTAATTGCACCCAATCACCTTTAATTTTTCGTGTAAATCGCGAATTTTCTTCAAGAACATAACTTGTTTTCTCAAAAATATCTTCTAAAAAAATTCGTTCTACAGGAAATGTTTTTCCTGGAATGCATAAAACAGGAGCTCCTTTAAAATATGAGGAAAATGCCTCACTTTTAAGTGTTGCACTCATAAGTATTATTTTTAAATTTGATCTTTTATGTAATAACTCTTTTAAAAGCATCAATAAGAAGTCACTAAAAAAAATTACAATAATTATATTAAAATAAACAAATTTATATGATAAGTAACTTACCTTTCTGCACTTCTTTCATGGACTTCATCTACAATAATATGTGTAACATCTGTTAATTCTGGATTCATAGAAAATCTTTGCAATAAAATTCCAGTTGTACAAAATGTTAATCTAGTTCTATTAGAAATTTTACTTTCTAATCGTATTTGATATCCTATTATATCACCTATACATTCATTTCTTTCTGTTGCAACTCTTTCTGCTACTCCTACTGCACTTATTCTTCGAGGTTGTGTACATATTATATTAACATGTTCTTTGGATTTGGACCTATTACAAATCCAATCATCTAATAAAAATTGTGGTACCTAAAAAATATTTTCAATTAATATTATTTTATAAGTTACTTTATTAGTATATGTTTATTATAAATTCAAATACTTTATTATAAATTCAAATTTATTATTTTTATTAATTGAATAAAAAAATTTAATTACCTGTGTACTTTTGCCACATCCTGTTTCACCTGAAATTATAGTAACTTGATTTTTATGTATTAGTTCTAAAATTTCATCCATTTTTGTCCATGCTGGCAATGTTTCTCTAATTTCTTTCATTTTTTTATATCTAGAATTGGTTTGTTTCTCTTTGAAATTTTTTTCAATTAGATTATCTTCTTTTAATATTTCTTCCCAGCTAATATTATTTCTATTTTTTCTATGAATAGATCCTAATTCATAATGTGTAGCTATATTTGTTTCATCTTCATTTTCTGATTGCTTTTGAAATAGTAATTCATTTTGATCTATAAATTGTTTTTTATTTTCTTCTAAATATTCTTTTATTTCATATTCATTTTCCAAAAGAGATATTATTGAAAAAATAGAAGGTGTTCCATCTGCAGATATTAGTAATGCTTCATCATACAATCTTTTTCCTATTCTTAAACAATTTATACTTGGAAATATACCATCATTTTTATAAAAATAAAAATAAGGTGGTTCATAAGGATATTTACAACCTAAAGAAATATTTAAAATAATTAAATATAGTAAAATATATATAATAATATAATATATAGTAATATATACATATATTATATTTACCTTCAGGAAATCTTATTTCTAAAGTAAAATATGGATCTTCTCTTTCAGGCATTTTTATTATTTGTGGTTGTTGGTGTAAAAATCTACATTTATTTCCAAATCTACATTTTTTATGAATAAATAATCTGCAAATTTCTTTTTCTTTTTCTTTCTCTTGTTTTTGTTTAATTTTTTCAATCTTTTCTTCTATTTCATCATTTCTTACTAAATAATCTAATTTAACATGTACAATCCAAATTTGATTTTTTATTTTTTCAGTAAACATGTTCCCATAAATAGATTCAAGTGCTTCTCTTTCTTCATTTCTTTTTTCTAACAATTCTATTGTCCCAATATCATCAGGTATTTTATTTTTTGCTATATTTTCCAATTCATAATATTTATAAAATAATACTTCCAAAGCTTTTCCTACATCACCTTCTGTATGTATTAATGCTTCCATACAATGTGAATGATGAAAACTAAAAAAAATATAAATACTTATTTATAAATATTTATTATTTAAACTTAAAATTTAACTAACTCACCCATAACTTTTAAGTTTAGATGTTGCAAATTGTCTACTAATTTGTTCTTCAGTTTTAGGTTTATTATTTTTAGAAGAATAATCAACTATTCCTTTGATAATTAAATTTCCTCTTTCCATCCAATATTGTTTGCCTAAATTGGATCTTTTATTTTCAAATTCTGATGCATCAGAAAGTTTAAAACTCTATCAAAAAACTATATTAATTCCTAATAATAATATATTTTACAAAAAATATTTATATACAAAATAATAGATTA